ACTTGGCTAAAACGGCAATTTCTGACCAAATCATTTTCACTCCTTTTTTGGCATTCAAAAGGCCATTTAGCGGAAATGGACCATAGTTCTATACTCAGTGCTCATGCCCCTGTACCATGCAAAAAACCATTTTCAAAAAGCGTCCCACACCCTGAAAGACCTTTTCTTGTAAAGTAGAAACGGTGATTAAAGACCAGCTCTGTGGCTACAAACTCTCTGGAGGGAAGGTAGGTGCCTAGAAACTCATACTCAAATAGATTTTACAGTTCCGATCATTTCAGCAAAATTGAGCAGTTGAAAGTGGCTGACATTTGAAGTTGAATGGATTCCTACAAAAACACCCTTTGTTAAATGAGAAAGAAATTGCAGGAAATTGGGGAGCTTAGACTTTCGAGGATCGAGGAAATAATTTTTAAAGCCGCTTTCATACTTCTCGAACGCTTAACAAAAAGTATGTCTTATATTATTAAGTGATTTGAGAGCTTTATTTGAAAAATTTGCAAGCCATTTAAAGCTATTTCTTGAAATTTTGAAAAATCTCCCTCATAGAACCCTCTCCTTCACTGCGTACGATCAATTTGCACCAAATTCTGCTATTTCGTGTGAAAGGGATGCCCGTTGGACCGGAGCGGCCCTCGAAATAGTTGCTTGTTGCACTTGTGAGGGTTCTTTATTCACATTCGGCTCCGAATATCAAAAGATTATATCAATGGACTCAACATATCTGATGAGCCTTCTAAAATACGAGAGGCACCCGTAATCCGATTGAATTGGTCATTTCTAATCAATCTGTTGAGGCATTGAGTTTTGTACGGGTTCCAATGAATTTCTACTGAATTATAAGCTAGTATTTTTCAGGGGACGCACTGGATGCACATGCAGTTGCTACACCACTGCCCTTGCTAACTAATTATATTGATAAAAAGCAAAATCCAAAAAAAANAAAAAAAACACTCATGGTATCCAAGAAAATGGTGGGGACCTATACTGGTAGTTGACTCACCCAGGCCAAAGTAGAATAGTACTTGAAGCGAACAGCGAACGCCTTTTTAGCTTAACCGGATATCATTAACAGCGTTCAGTTGGTGATATATAGAGGCGGACGTTTGTGGCTAACAATTGTCACAACTGCATAGAAAGTCCCGTTGTACCCGACTACATTCATAGAATCTTTGCAACCTTCCAATGACTCCTAGAGACCATCGAAGATGAATTAGCCGGATCGACCTCCCCAATGGATGGGAATGACGAAACAAAAACATAGAGTGATTTGTAATTGCAAACGATTTTGTAATTCAACTCATACCGTATCGAACCATATTCTCATGAATCCTACTGCAGTTTTTCACTGGCTGTAGTTCCTTCGATTTCTGTAGCTCGGTGAAGCTACTCTCGAGCTGAAGGATTGCACATGAGGGAGGGTCTCACTGTAAAGGTGTGTATCTAAGGAGCACACACTTATACAGTGAAACCCTGCTGTGCGATACTTCAGCACGAAAGTAGCCTTACCAAACTCTAGTATTCGAAGGAACTACGACCCAGATAAAAACCGCCTTAGGATTTATGAGACTAAGGTTGACCGAGCATAGTATCACCTATCTAAATAGCTCAACCTGAGGCTCATTCGAAACTGAAGGTCATATAGATTCCCAATTGAAAGGCATTCTACCAGTGTACCACAATTAACCAACCCTAAGAATCATAAAAATCTTGTGCTAAGTTCTTGATATAGCTGTCGCCTAACTTTCAATGATTGCTTGGAGAGGCCATCGACTAATTGGCTCGCTTTTGCTCTTTGTTGATGGAAACCTTGTTTTGTCGCACAAATAGTAAATGAACATTAGGTTATGAGAAATGTATCCGCCACGAATTTCAATACTGCCTCAGAATTCCGCCAAGATTTTCCAAAGATCTGCACAGAGCTCCAGTGCAGAGAGAGAGCTATCGAAGAGCTCTACTAACTTGTATGCCGCTGAAGAATCACGAGATTTCCAAATATCGCAATCGTTTGATCAGATCAAGGTTCAGCTTTTTGCTTTTCGTATCAGGCTGTGAGAAAACGGGACGAGACTTACAAAACCGCTCAGAATGGGCTCGAGGTTGAATATTTGACACAAGTTTCGAGGTTTACGCTGCGAAATAGACGAACAACAAGGAACAGTTACGAAGAGGCCGAGTATGTTATGGGCATACCAATGGGAAGTGTCCTTCCATCAGAACCACATAAAAACACCGAATAAATCCGAGGGAAACCTTAACCAGAGCGAAATTCGTGGTAGATACTTTCTGTACAACTAAAATACAACCATAAAATTATTGTCGTGCTGAAAAAACCTGAAGCATCGCAGAGCACCTTAGGTGGTTCCATCTCAATCGTCGCTGTGACTTTCTTATTGTAGAAGTAGCTCTGGCAGTTGTCAACTGCCAACAAACTAGCGTTGGATGTTTTGCACAATAAATATATTTTCTGCTCTGCAAAGAGCTGCTTACTGAGGTTTTTCTTCGAATTCTCAATATGGATACGTAAAACAACAAAAGCAGATGGGTTGAGTACGCATGCCTTTCGACGAAGGGGGTGCTTGCCAAAATCCAAAAGTACGATAAGGGAGGTTGTTCAAGAGCAGTTTAAGTCGTCGTACGCTATACCTTAACTCTGAAATGGTGACTGGTGGTTCCAGATTCATAGTCAGATTGGTTTAAAAATATCGGTCAAGCGGAATTGAGCAATTGAAAATGGCTAATACTCGAGGATCAAATGAATAGATTCTTACAACAATATTTTTGATGAAATCAAGAAAAGCAAAAATTCGGTTAGCTGAGCCTCTCAAAGGGCGACGAATACTTTCTAAAACCGCTTTCATACTTTCGAAGGCTTGACATAACGTACGACTTATTTTTTCGATTGACTTCATGGTGGAAGGCAAAACCTGCAAGCTACTCGGAGCTGTTTCTCTAAAAAATCCTCCTTTAAGAACTCCCTCTTCCAGAACCCAACCAATCTATCCCATCTTCTGCAATTTCTAGTAAAAGGGACCTGCTGGGTCATAAAGGCTCTCAAAAAGCTGCACATCACAGCCAAGTATTTGCTTGTTGCACTTGTCGAGTTCACACTCAGTTCATTATCAGAAAAAAATCGGAAATACTACAGTGTAGGAAACAGTTTATAACCATCAAAGTTACCTAATAGTAAGTATACAGTACCCGGCTAAAAGCACTTTTGTATAACATGATAAACACCCAATGGCCTGATGCTATGCTACCTATGTTGGCAATGGCGACTACAAGTTCAGGGAGGTGCTAAACAGGAAGTTGTTCATTTAATTGCTCTGATGAGCTTTCTGGATTACTGGGAGCATTCATTTTCTCATTAAATTGACGACTTCCAATTAGTCTCGTGAGGCAATGAACTTTATACGAGTCCCAGTGAACTTTGACTAGACTATAAGCTAGTATAATACTTTCCGGAAGATGCAAATGTGCCCGACCAACAGGTTAAGCGCTAGCCCACCGAGATTTCGCTTGAGTAGTCAAACCTCTATTCGCTACACTTCACATAATGATTGCTTATAATAAACGGCAGTAAATAGTAAAGGTTCCCAGTAAAACAACCTATATTATTTATTGCCCAGATTGGGTTTATTGCTGATCTATTATTCACTACACGGCACAGCATTTTTGCCACTACATCACCCTATACAACCGCTGACCAAAGGTTGTCTTGGCACAGGAAACGATGGACGACATCATGCCAAATTGCGATAATTAGTTACTGCCGTAATGATTCCCTCAAAAGCAGCGAGTATGAGTACGATTCAGCCCCAACATGAGATGAGGATCACCAGCAAAGGGGATTTTAAGTAACCCGGTGAAAACACACAATCTCGGGGAGGATCAGAGATCAGGGTTGGCGGACTGGGGGCGAGAAAGAATAGAGCCGGAAAATAACTGGTTCGACTATTTTACTGATTTCTGTTGGAGGTACATAGAACAGCGAAATCTTCAAAAAGTCCGATGATCTGAAGCTCTACTGTAAATGTAATTCTGAATAAACTGAACAAGTGGTTCTTTAAAGTAGGACATAAAAAATGAAAAGGAAGGGAAAAAATGAAAAACAGGAAGTAAACAAACCTGTACAACGTTTACGACATTGGAGATGACAATGCCAAAGTCGATGGATAGTGACTCGAAGCTGACCATAAATGAATGCACACCAGGACAACATGGTGAGTGATCGAGTCTCGTTCTCTGAAATAGCGAAGAGTAACTGTTTTAGAAGGTTACCTGAAATTATACCACAGAAAATGCTACCAGTCTTTTTGCATTCTGGAGTTTAAGTTCCAGTTTCATGAGAAGAAATGTCTTTCTGAATGGTTGGATTTTCTTGATTTGTTACCCATTTTGAGTGCCTCTATATGTCTTCGACGTCCATTATTCGTACCAAAACGCTCCCTTTTCCTCACTGCTTAGGACAGCCATCAAGACATGAAAATGCGTTACTTCGTCGATGTAAAAATTCACGTATATCTCAAACATACTCTCCATACTGGGTCTCCAATAAAATCTTATAGCATCAGTATAGGGCCAAAAATGGAAGCAGACTGGTCACTTATATACTACCAGGCGGCTACGCACGCTCTCGCGCGCGCTAGGGGCTCTAACCATGAGAGACGGAGCCGCATGAGCTGATTTTCATTATAAACCTTTATCGGATTCATGAGTTTCCGCTCAAACATCGCCCCCTGTGGGCGGAGTCTGGTTCTACCACCCACCATGAGCTTTCCCATCACGGTGTCTGTACTCCTACCAAGTTTGAACTTTCTAGGTCCATTGGGACAGAATTATGAGTTTTCGCCCGAACCCCGCCCC